CTTGGGCTACTCTTTTACCAACGAATAGTGGGATTGACCGTCACATTATAACGCCCCCACGGCTGAAAGGGCAAATATCTTTAGAGTGACGGGGAATCGAACCCGCGACCCGCAGATTGCGAGTCGAGCGCCCTAACCACCTGGCCCTGTTGGGCCAATATTAATAAGACTTGCTAGAAGATAATCAATCTCTGGAATATATACTTTTTTTTTTAAAAAGAAACCTTTCGGGTTATTACATTTTATACAGTTCTGAAAATACAAAGTTATGAAAGATGCCTTGCAGTGACTGGAACTACCTAGTAGAGGTTCTGCATTTATGCATTTATTTTCAGGTGTGTGTGAGGTTACCTGTAAAAATCCAGGTGAGTTAATTTGATGTACCTGTTGTATAGTTTGTTTTTTGCACTGCAAAAACAAATTACTGGATGAAATGGTCCGAAACTTGAGATAGACTCCATAGAATCTTTAGCTTTAGCAATACAAAACATTTAATTTTTTGTGAAAAACCACAGTAAACGGAACAAACTGTCATATATCTGATATCAGACTTCTGACAGTTTGTTCCGTTTACTGTGGTTTTTTCACTAATTGCTGTACACGATATTGTGTTCGTTTATTATCTAATTTTTATATATGATATTTGTATGAATTCTCAGCTTTGAAAATTGTAAAATATTTCATTGTGATATTTATTAAAAATGGTGACCTTAGTTGTTGATTTTAATTAGTGATTTCTATTTGATGATAATGAAAGGTTCATTCTGTGGGAAGGATGCATTTCTCATTAAAAAATGACAGTCTGTGATGAAGTTCAGTGTGCCAGGAACATGACAGGCTAATAAACTCACCCAATTGGAATGGGCCCAAAATATGATGTCCAAAGTCAGAAAACAAGAGGGTCCTGGATCAGGTGCCCCCTTGATAGTTGATATGACATAACTTTGTAATTGTCCAAGTGAATCTTTACCAAATGATCCACAAGAGAGGGAAGAAAATGAGAGGATGCCAGATAGACAGAGAGCAGTTTCAGGGTATTGGTATGTAGCAAATACTCTTCCAGGGTCCAAAAACCTAAAGACAGACATTTATTCAAGGGCGCTCCCCATCCAGAGAAAGAAGTATCTGTGAAGAGGTTAAGGTATGATTTTTGGGTAAAGAAACGGAACGCCATAGGTGGTGTTGGAGCGGTCTAGCCACCAAGCAAGATTCTCCAGTACAGAAGGATGATCAGTGTGGAAAGTGGATTCCTGGAAAGGTTCCATTTATCTAACAATTACCACTGTAGGAGATGCTTATGTGCATGGCCAAGTGGAACGGGTGGTTCCAAAGAAGCCATAGTCCCCCCAAAAAAATAGAACCTCTTGCTCAGAATGTGAAGATGATGCACAAACTTTCAGAACCAGATGCTCGAGAACAAATTAGTGAATTGGAAGAGGTTGGGCATGGCTGAAATGATAGTTGAAGAGAATCCCCAGCTAAACGAGATAATGGGTTGGGGTAAGGAGGGATTTGGAGATGTTGACAAGCCACCCTAAACAAGTGGCTTCATGAAGCAGAAAGGAAGTGTGTTTAGAAGATCCCACCTGGGAATGGGTGAGGAAAAGCCAGTTATCCATTGAGGAATGGAATCTCAGACCCAGGCCATGAAGATGTCAAGCAAAGGCATGCATAATGTGATTGAAAACATAAGGGGTCAGCACTATTCCAAACAGAAGGGCATGGAACTGGAAAATGCGATCCCTGTGGATAAATCAGAGAAAACGTTGTGAGGATAGGGCGATCAGGATGTAAGGAAAAGCATCCGACATATACACTCTGATCATTCACAAGCCAGGCTGGAAAGACCAATAAAGAGAGAAAAAAATTCTTCATCCAAAAATGTGGGATAAGAAAAGATTGATAATCGGTCGCCAGTCTGAGATGTGGGAATAATAAACCAATGGCCTGTTTCTCAAAAAAATCCAACACTGCTCTTTCCAGACATTGGTTATTGGTAATTAGGTCAGTGAGTTAGATGTTGGAAGAAAGTAGGAAAGGAAGAGGTGGAAGGTCGGAACACAGGAACAGAATAAGGGCCAGGGTGAGGGATAGAAGTGAAGGGTGAGAATGGGGCAAATGGGAAATTAAGGAAGTAAGGAAAAATTGATGTTGGGCAGCTTCAGCTTGTGATTCTAGGGAATCAGGGATGCCATTAAAAACCTCTGGATGAAGAAAGGGGCAAATTGAAGGTCCTGAAGGAAGGGAGATTGACTTGAGAAAGTAGGGCATCCCTTTCTAAAAGGTCCCAACAACAAAGCTATTAAGTCAAAAAAGAAATGGCAGAAGAGGTGGAATGGGCCATTGTAGAGAAGAGGAGCACTTCAGTCTCCAGAAAGGTCATTAGGGGAACAGTGAAGCACTTCTGTCATAAGGTGAGGGGAAGAGAGGTTACCTAAGTGGGGTAGGGAGAGGGGCTGAAAACTGCAAAAATTGTGCACTAGATAGGGAAACAACCAATAATGAATTCCCCCTCCAAACTGGCAAGAGTGACTCCAAAGACTGGATGTTAAGGAATGGGAACTTCGAGTGAACATAATAATCAGTCTGGTGAGGGGGATTAGCAGGAACAAAGTTGGACTAGAAAGGAATTGGCACGTACATTAATATCAAAAGAGGGGGGGGGAAACAATGAACTTGCAAGAGGAATAGTCATGTAATAAAGAAGAGGAAGAGTTGAAGGATTTGGGAGGGAGAGAAAGAACTGTATATATATGAGTAATAAAGCTATGAAAATCCAAGTAAAACTGAGGTAAGGATGTTGCCAAAGCAAAACCTGGAGTGAGAAAAGGCACTCAACTTCATCCTCTTCAAATTCAGCTTTTAAAAGAAGGGGAATGTAAGTGAGTGGAAGGGACAGAAACAGAGGGTCCTGGCTGCATCCTGGACCCCACCACACATTGGACAATGATTGTCACATGTTCCCCAGACAAAGGACTTCCCTTTGAATTATTGGTATTTTGTTCAGGTTGAAGAATATTTTCACTCACATCAGTAGAAAAGTTCACCTTAAAGTGTGAATTCAAACTGAGTATGTTAAAACTCAATCACAAGAAAGTTGAAAATGAAAAAAGTTGCAAATCTCAGCAGGCTCAAAGCATCTGTTCACGACAGTGCCAAGGAAAAGAATGAGAGTTTACAAGCATGAATGTAGATGGAGTCATTGTGCATGGAAGTGTGTTGCACTCCTGTTGGTAGAGGAATCTCAAAGCATCTGTTCACGACAGTGCCAAGGAAAAGAATGAGAATTTACAAGCATGAATGTAGATGGAGGCATTGTGCATGGAAGTGTGTTGCACTCCTGTTGGTGGAGGAATCTCAAGGCATCTGTTCATGACAGTGCCGAGGAAAAGAATGAGAGTTTACAAGCATGAATGTAGATGGAGTCATCGTGCATGGTGGTGTGTTGCACTCCTGTTGGTGGAGGAATCTCAAGGCATCTGTTCACAACAGTGCCGAGGAAAAGAATGAGAATTTACAAGCATGAATGTAGACGGAGTCATCGTGCATGGTGGTGTGTTGTACTCCTATTGGTGGAGGAATCTCAAAGCATCTGTTCACAACAGTGCTGAGGAAAGGAATGAGAATTTACAAGCATGAATGTAGATGGAGTCATCGTGCATGGTGGTGTGTTGTACTGCTGTTGGTGGAGGAATCTCAAGGCATCTGTTCACAACAGTGCTGAGGAAAGGAATGTGAATTCACAAGCATGAATGCAGATGGAGTGCATGGAGGTGTGTTGTACTCCTATTGGTGAAGGTTTCTGCTGTGTGATTACATCATCGTGCAATACCTCAAATTCACGTGGTTTCATGTGAGATTTAGTCGGGAGTTTTCACAAGGCTGGTGGTTTGCAAATTTCAAGTGGAAAGAAGCTATTGTGAGTGTGGAGACGAGTATTTGTTTCAGAAATTAATTTGACTTTCCTCCTAGGGGGTCTATGAATGCTATATCATAACCAAAACTTTTTCATTTGGAACGAGTTTAAATTCAGCCAAAATCAAAATTTGAGATTTGAAAAAATAGTACTGTATAAAATTGAAGGAATAAAAATTTTACTGAATAAATTTAACTCTGAAGTATTAAAATACCCATAGAGAAAGAGTACAAGTTATTTTCTATAACTTTTTAATTCAGTATTGCAATTTTGCCTTTAGGGAAGGGTGGAGTCAACGAGGAACGTTAAAAGAGTTCAACATAATTTTTCTTAGAATAAAAAAGAAAAATCGGAGACATAAACATCAACATGTAATTACAGCTAATCCCAAACAACATTTACCCATGGAAAGACAAATAAAAAGTAAAATGCTGGCAAACAGTATAGTGAGGTGATATACGAATAAAGAACGAATGAAGTGTTGGTAAATGTTGAAAAAGTTCTTTTGTGACAGCCCTTACTATACACAAATTTCGAAATTGTTAAACAAAAATAGAAAGAAATGCATTTTAATAGTTTCTGAAAGTTAAGTAATGACTTGACTATTCCGAAGTTTAACTGTGCAAAGCCTGCAATTTTTCAAGTTACATTTTAGATCTAACTTGCCCAGGTATCTACCAGATGTTACAAAAGTGATCTCACAGTAATGTAAACATATGTCAATTGGTATTCTGTTGAAGCACAATTATCTCTGTTCCTAAAAGTTATGAAACTGTAACTATATACTCCTTAATAAAATATCTTAAACTTAAGCGCAAAAGGTCTGCAAATTTCTTACCCTATTCCAGATTCTCATTAATCTACCTTCAAAGGTGGAAATATTTAACTAAATTGTATGAAACTTAGAACAAACTTACTAACAGTATTTAGTTTTGACTTTCAGAAGTTCCTATAATTTGATTTACTTTTACTACAACTTTTCCTGTTGTGAAATTTTCGATATATAGCCGAGAAAGTTTTGAAAAAAGCATTAAAAATACTTTCTATATAAATTATGAAGTACGATGTTTTTAATAATCACCATATTTCCTTTCATTTCAGAAATTCAACTTTATGTTGGTTAGAAAGTCCCATTTTTCATATATATACATAGTTAATTAGTCTCCTAATTATAAAAATTTCCCTGATCTTTGGTTTGCTCCCAAGTCTCCTAATTATAAAAATTTCCCTGATCTTTGGTTTGCTCCTAAGTCTCCTAATTATAAAAATTTCCCAGATCTTTGGTTTGCTCCTAAGTCTCCTAATTATAAAAACTTCCCTGATCTTTGGTTTGCTCCTAAGTCTCCTAATTATAAAAACTTCCCTGATCTTTGGTTTGCTCCTAAGTCTCCTAATTATAAAAATTTCCCAGATCTTTGGTTTGCTCCTAAGTCTCCTAATCTTCCCACCATATATTATTGTTCTTTCCTGCAGGAGCTGCATCTAATCACTTTCCCCCAAAACCTTGAATACCACTTGATTTACTCCACAAATATAAAATTTATCTGCAGCTATTTTCAAATTTGAACCTCATTAGTAGTTGTTTAGATCATATGCTGCGACATCATAAAAAGGCCTCATAGTAAAACCAAAAAACATTAACAGTGTTTTGTTCTGGTGCAATGCCACATTGGGCTATCTGCTGCATCAACTAAGGGGGAATCAAACCTTGGGTTTTTTGTATTGTAAGTCTGTAAACTTACCACTGATCCACCAGGGGGAATGCTAACAGAGAAGAAAATCATGTGAGAAATAAGACACAGATAACTGTACTCTAAAGATTTTATAGTTTCTTAGCAAATATAAACCTATACTTTATAAATATGTTATTTAAAGACGAGGCTTTTCTGAGCTGTGCAGAAATGAGAGAAATTTTTTTTATTTGCCAATGACATTAAATAAATGTTAAAAAATCATAAAACATCAATTCTTAAATATTTCTAAGCTAAAATGTTCAAAGAGTGTTAGAATTATTGTTTTGATTTACATTCTGAAATTTGAGATGTAGGTGTGCAGTTGACAACTAAAAGGTGCTCACTGGTGTTCTACTACATGTTGTAATAAAATAATAATAATAATAAATAATGTTGGTCTTGGCTTATTTAAAGTTGAAATATACGTTTTTTGTATGAATTTAAGTGGACAACACCAATCCTATATATATATTGCGAACCACGGTGTCTGTCCGAGCAATCGTCTGTCTCCTGTTTGAAAAGCTGTGTATGGAGGCAAAGCTCAACATTCACTTTTGAAATGACAAGAGAACAGGCATGAATAATGTTGATGCTAAATTTTATTTCGCAAGCAGGATATTCTACATTAAACTGTTAGGAATTAATCACACTATCATTCAAAACGTGACGTAACTTGATAAATAAAAATGTAGATTTACCGTATGATATTGTTGAGCGACTCTTAGCATGACTGAAGTGTTCAACAATTACTTTTTGCAGTGGGTGGTGTAAGTAGCTCAGAGTTTTGGCTCCGAGTGAAACACAATTAACCTTTTTAAAGTCCATAATTAATTTAAATTGGCAGATTAACTTAAACTTTTTTCGTCACTGGGGACGGGTACTTTTGCTTGTATAACTATATTCAACAACTAAGTGTCATGAAATACTTACTACTAAAGCATACAGTCTATACTTCAGTGATAAGGTATTGTATCCTTCCTTCAGTCGATGTTCATGGAAATCTTGAGCTACATGATCCTTATAATCCTGACTAAGTGGATGCTTGCTGACCAGATCTCCATTAAGAAGTTTCTTCTTAATAGGGCTTGAATTTCTCCTATTACAAGTAACAATCTGTTGCGAGTCTTTTTGACTAGAATTTACACACGAGTTGGTGATCTGAAAATCACTATTTGTTGATGACTGGCTCTGGAGTGGAGTTTGCTGATTAGCATGGGTTTCTTCTATTTTACTGTAATGGCAAGAATTGAGCACTGCCTCTCGAGGCACTGAAGAAAGGTAGTTTGTGGCATCAAAATCAAAGAATGGAAACCTTACAATTTTATGGGATTTCACCCATTTTCCATTCATAAGTTGAAACCTCTTTAGGTGAATAATCTGGACAACAGAGAACATTCAAATTAGTCTAATGAAATGTTACTAAACAATATAAAAAAAAATATACACGCTCTTTTGTTTGTTATTTATTATGGGATATAACTGCCAAATACTAACTTCAACTTAGTTTTTTAGTAAAGAGCAAAAACTATTCAATTGAACTTCAGTTTAAATTTTTTTTTATGAGAAGTTAAAATAAGGTTATCATTTAAATGTTGTAATATTTGGTGTAATAAGACTTTATAGTCACAACTAAAACTTTCAGTGTGAAAAAGTCAATATTTGGTAAAAATTATAATTATCTCCTACCTGCTGCTAAATGATTAGTAAAAAATGTAGTAAAAACCTTTTAAGATATCAAGTACTTTTCAGAGAAACTATCTTATTAACAAAATTCTGAACCAACATCAATTCACATGATGTTGAGACTAAAACCTGTTGTAAAGTATAACATTAAAAACTTTTTGTAGTAGACATTAAATGTAACTGATAAACTATTAAACCTGTGAACTAAAATAGCACAGAAAACTCATTTAATTCAGACTGCATGTAAAAATAAAATAATAAAAGAATCACAAGCTAGTTTCATGTTTAACTCACAAGCTAGTTTCATGTTTAACTCACAAGCTAGTTTCATGTTTAACTCACAAACTAGTTTCATGTTTAATTTACAAACTAGTTTCATATTTAACCCACAAACTAGTTTCATGTTTAACCCACAAACTAGTTTCATGTTTAACCCACAAACTAGTTTCATGTTTAACTCGTCTTTAAACTAAGTTTCCAGTTGTAACTGTTTCTTTAAATCACAAGCTTACTAACATTAACTAATGCCCAATATATATGAGATACAAGATTGTCTAGCCATTTTCCATAAACTAACCAGCACTGGAGGTAGCCTCCATATCTGAAGCTTTTTGGAGGCCAGCTGATGCTGTTTGCATTTGGAACAATAGTATTTTTCCTCTTCACCCAAATGCTCTTCTTTTGTGAATGCATCAAGACAGTCGTGAAGGCTGATTGGCTCGGTCTGTCCCCGCCTTGTTTCCTGTACACTTGAATGGTTCAAACACACCTACCAGGATGGTCAAGAAATAGGTTACTTTTAAGAACCTTGTTGATAACAATTAACAGTCACTTGAAATAGAAATTGAAGAATTAAATACAATAATATTACCAAAGTCACAATGTTAAGAGACTCCAGAGGTTAATTGTAAAACATTCAAATTAACCTGTTGATAACAGCAACAATCTGTATATACAGACCTATAGTTTGATCTTATCCTTCACGACAAGGTTATATAAAACTCTACAAACATTATGAAATTAATAAAAATTTTTTCAATCTTCTTTAATTACTATAACATTGTTCAAACACCTTCAGATATTTACTACACCAGCCTAAGTAAAACATTAAACTTTTACAAAATTGTACGAGTGATATGTCAAATATCTTAACTGTTAGGCTTAATGTTTTCCAAGATGTTTGATTCTGTAAATTCAATGTTCTATACCGTGTTTTCCTCGGGCATTTGATTCTGTAAATATAATGTTCTATGATGTATTTTTTTTAGATGTTTAATGATTACAAGTATAATAAAAAAACTTTGTAAACGTTATAAAGACAGGTAGGGATCGATATATATACATAACTAGCTATAGTAATATAGAAAGTTTTAACGATACAAAATGTATTGAAACGAGAAAGTCAAAACTAAAACAAACTGTAATTGTGTTAGTCTAAGCCAAAGTATGAATAAAATTATTTAATTTTTAAAAATTTTTTCATTATACTTGTTTCCTTTTTATTAGCTATATTTTTGTGTGCCAGCAATACCAAACGTGGGGAGCAGGTATACCCAATTCAATTTTATTACTCATCAGGATCTCTACCAACCAATCATCAAATCTAATTATATGCCTAAAGTAGCACATCGTCCATTTACACACACACAGTATACTCTTTGGCACAAGAAAGGAATCACTGGGACCCCAGACGGAAGAGTTCTGTGAAAGAATTAGAGCGATAAGATTTGTAATTTTTTCTGTACACTTGTCTGGAAAAGTCACTTACTTATTTACTTAGATGAAAATTTGTTAAAATAATGAAATTTTGATTCCCTCCACAAACACATATTTAGGCAGCTTCATAAGTACAATAAGCTTTAGTTTTACTCGGCTAGTACAGTGAAACGGTCACTGTTAATATTCAGATATTTTAAATGTGGTTTTAAACGGACGATTTTTATGCCCACCATTTTGTTTTATCATAATTCCTACTATTAAGTACTACCATACTTAATAATAATGTTCAACAATGTATGTTTCCTTCAAATAATCGGTGTCACAGTTCCGTATCATGCATTTTCTTTATAGTTTTGGATATCTTTGAGAGGTCTTGTATCTTAAGTATTAAGTTAATTAAACATTTAAAGAGGTTTTACAGGTGTTGATATCTTAAATACCTTTTCTTGAGATGTTTGATATCTTAGGTGTAATGCTGTTGGATCCCAATCGATGGCAATATAAGCTGAAGCAAAGTTAAAGTCAGCACCACAGTAATCCACAGAACAGCCTAGACAAAACCTGGTAATAACAACATTAACATCATACACGTGATAAATATTTACAATTACATTTACAGTTGTTAGTTTTCTATAAACTAAATAAAAACCCTTATAATATGGAGTACATCTTGTATCCAATGGAGAGGAAAGAAGAAAACATTCTACATTACAAAAAATATATAAATTATAAGAATGTACGGTGCTACTATAGCGTGCGGTCTACCAGGACTTTTACACTATAGTGTGCGGTCTACCGAGACTTTTACACTTAGTTAAATAGACAGGTCAAGTCAGGTAAAGTGGGGTCTTCTATGATCCCTCTGGGGTAGGGGTAATAGGGTCCGGTGAGTCTTGGTAGACTACGGATACTGCGGTAGACCGCACGCTATAGTAGCACCGAATGTACAATCTTTACGTAAGTGGATCAAAATTACCTTTTTTTCTTTTACGAGAAAAAGGTTATAACCTAAACCATGTTCATTTCTAATTTCAACTTCTAATTTTAATTTCCAAGTGTTACAATTCCTCAAATTACTTTTCTTGGATCATTTCCATATCTGTCTAAACACATAAATGTGCCATTTTACAGGATAAACAATAAATATGATTACATAGTGGAGAATATTCTGACATCTGCAAAATGAAACACTGTACTTGGTAAAGCCTATGTTAAACCTTAACTGATAATTATAGTGTGGGGGAAATTTAGGTTATCTGGTTATTATATCTGATAGTATATTTAGTTCAGAACATTTTAAACACTAACTGATAATTATACTGTGGGGGATATTTAGGTTATCCGGTTATTATATCTGATAGTATATTTGGTTCAGAACATTTTAAACACTAACTGATAATTATACTGTGGGGGATATTTAGGTTATCCGGTTATTATATCTGATAGTATATTTGGTTCAGAACATTTTAAACACTAACTGATAATTATACTGTGGGGGAATATTTAGGTTATCCGGTTATTACATCTGATAGTATATTTGGTTCAGAACATTTTAAGCTCAGTTACATTGTAAGAATATTAACGTTATCTAACTACTAAATCATTTGTTTGTTTTTTGAACTTTTGTATACAGATACTTTAGGGTTATCAGTGCTAACCATCCCTAATTTTGAAGTAACATATCAGAGGGAAGGTAGATAGTCAACATCACCCTTTACCTCTTGGGCTACTCTTTTACTATTGACAGTCAGTCCCACTATTATACCCTCAAGGCAGAAAGTGCGAGCAAGTTTGATGATGGGTTTTGATCCCATGACCAAAGATTGGGAGTAAAGCATCTAAACTTCTAAGCTATGTAAGGCCAAACAATAAAATGAGTCTGAAATATACATGCACAAATGATTTTGTTCATGACAGATGATTCAATTTTTACATCTCACAAACAACCATACCTATAATGAAATTATGAACACAATATTAAGCTTCTTAAGATTTCATGTGACAGTATAGTGTAAACGAAGGACACCAATACTTGAAAGTCATGCTAAACATGTATTGAAGAATAAAACAATTTGTTTTTAAGTTCAGTCACACCCAGATATCAATTATTGTCAAGTTTAGTAGCATAGATAATCTTCAATAATTAGTTGCTTGAAACTATTTCAGTAGTTAGTTGATTCAAGCCTTAACTCTCTCACTACAGACTGTAAAGCAAAATGTTGAGTGTCCAATTAAAGAAAAATAACAAATTTAGTGTTACGTTAGTATTTATATTATAATATCCAATTATGTAATGCACGAGCTACTCATGAGCATATCTCGTGAAGAAATTTTATTAGCATTATTTTTTTTATTCATCTTACATAATCTAGCCTAATAAGTTTCTAATTTTTACATTTTAGTTACTTTTATAATAATAATAAATAAAGAATACATATGAAAAACAAGAAATACAGTATTTCGGTAAGGAAGCACATTAAGCTAATATAATAATTGTTATAAGTATACGGAAAATATATATATTGATGCTGGAACATACTACATGTTTCTACAGAACATTGGTAATAATGCTTGGAGACGGCTTGAATGGGTAATGAAGAAAAACTTTAATACAAGTTTAACATCACAGCAAATGTACAATGATGATGATGATGACAAAACGTTGTACATTTGCTGTTATGTTAAACTTATATTAAAGTTTTTCTTCATTACCCATTCAAGCCGTCTATAAGCATTATTATTCTCAAAGAGGGTTCCTCGTCATCAAATTTGAAAACATTGGTAAAAACCCCTAGTACGAAAATTATGACATCTGTTCTCTAGATCTTCTCTCTTCTCTAATTTATTTACCACCCCTCTGAGAAGTATGGAATTTAATGTAAATTACTCATTATATCATCATTGTATATAGCCTTCAATCTTATTTGGTTACAGAGCTATAAACTAGAAAATCAGACCCTTCTTGCCACACCCACCTGTCACATCCTCTCTTTTACAAATTGCTAATAGTTTCTCTCTGATATTTATTGCTATATTATTTATAACCAACGTTTTAATCAATCAAATGACGTACTATGTTACATTGTTTTCTGTACAGGGAACTGTCGATTTTGCTTCGAAACCAAACTATTCTCACAGGAAAGACATCAAGGAACGTAGCTTAATTTATATTAGCTCTAATTGCACAGTTACAAAGCCAGAAAAATTATGATAGTTATTGAATATTGTCTGCTTTTTACATGTTATTATTCTGTATTCTTGGGTGAATTCTTTAATTAAATAAACAATTATTTAGTGTGGCAGTCCCAGGTGTATAAAAAAGTATGCTTACGTTTCATCGACAGCAAAGAAAAAAAAAGACCCAGGTAAGAACTATATTTTTTGTGTTTTGTGTGTATTCTATATTGATTATTATAAAAAGAACTAAAATGTAAAAATTAAAAAGGTCAGATTAGGTAAAATAAAGAACTATAATAATAACAATTCTTCACATGGTAGCTTGAAATTACCTCACGCATTGTGTAAATCAATAGGGTAATGTGAGCTACATGTTCACCAGGAGATTTTCAGATAGACATGCTTTGAAATGCAATAAAACAAGAAAATTGAGTACAGATAGATATCCCATTACAAACTTTAAGCTACTTAGGATAAACAATTGTGTTTTCCTGTTGTTACAATTTCCAGTCATTCCGGAAAGAAAACAGGAATTTAAGAATTATTTCCCGATTTTTTTTTATGGTGGTTACGAGGTTGGTCAAATTAACCAACTCTGAATAGATTTACAGTATAGAAAATAACAGATAAAATACAAAGTTTTTTTGAAAAAAAAAATTATTTAGGATTACACAAATGAAATTTTAAAATTTTCTAGATGAGTTATTTTTAATCTTAACATGAAAATCACTTTGCATTCAGAGCAGTCAAAACTCTGACATCGTATAATTCCAGACAAAGTTTTGGTAAACAAACATAATTAAAAATTCTGATGTTTCGTCTATGAACATTTTTTAACATTTACTGAAAGCTTGATATATATATTTTGTGAAGATACAATAAGTACTTTCAGAGTCATATTATGTATACCACTATGGTTGCATAGTAGTTACAAGGTCATGTAAAATAAAAGAGCCCACAGCAATAGGGTTAATATATATATTTAGGTGCCTTCTTTGGATTAGACATTCTTTCTATGTTTATTAAACACCTCCATATTCCTATTCATTATTAGATAAACCTTTTTTTCACAGTATTATTCAGTTGTTTGGAATCAAATTAGGTCATGAGGCCTTGATGCACCAATCTAGGTTAGAAATAACCCATTTATTAACCCTAATATTAAACATGCAGAAGACTCTAAACTTAACTTTAATAACTGTTTCAATATTACAAGAAAAGACATTTCTATTTGTATTGATGATGGTTTTAAAATCTCTTTCATTTCAAAATGAAATCATACAGCATAAATATAACTCATTTTACCAGTATCTTAACGTTTGCCTAATTACTATACGGACAACTAACCTGTACCAGGGACACCACGCACAAAAAAGCCCATCTTTCTGAACTGCTTTCAATGTAAATGGATACTCATAACCGAGACTGTCGTCGCTGAAAGAAGACAAACCTTTGAAAAACATCTTCAAAGAAATATAATTTACTTTATATATTTTAAGATAACATAATATTCAATGTACATTAGAAACTTTCACAGTTAAATACTTTACATGATGGCATTCATTTGAATTTAATTACAAAATAAGTAAGTGGACATTGCTTGAACATCATTAACTATTCTGAAATTTAAGGTCAGAAATAGTAGCAAATTACTTTTAAGAAGTGGATGATGGTCTAAAATTATTAATGGTTCTCACACAATAAACGTTTTTGTTAACCTGTGTGTAGCTGATTGATCTCTGAGATGTCTCACATAGCCAGGTTTGTTTGTTAAACTATGTGCATGCATGTAGCAATCAGATGTGTGGTATGTCTCACATAGCCAAGTTTCAGTATTAAGCTGAAAATATGTGTGTAGCTGTTGGATCTCAGACATGTCTCACCAACTTACCAAGCTGTATGTATGTGTGTAGCTGTTGGATCTTGTACGTGTCTCACCAAGCCAAATTTCAGTGTTCATCTATATATATGTGTGGCTGTTTGATCTTGTACGTGTCTCAACAAGCCAAATGTCAGTGTTCATCTATGTATACGTGAGTTGCTGTTTGGATCTCAGATATGTCTCAACCAACCAAATATGTTTGTTAACGTGTGCATGTGCGTAGCTATCAGCCCTCTGACATATCTCACCCAGACAGGTTTGTTTGTTTAACCTTTGTGTATATGTGTAGCTGATAGATATACGACATGTCCCACCTAGCCAAGTTTGCTGTTAAACTGTGTGCTGCTATCAGATCTCTGATATATCTCAGTCAGCTAGGTTTATTTGTGACACGTGTGGATGTTTGTAGCTGTTGGATCTCGGACATTTTTCACCCTTAAGCAGTGTGTTTGTGTGCAGCTATTTGATGTCTTATGTTTCACCAAGCAATGTATGTTTGCTAAGATGTGTGCACGTATGTATCATAGATATCAGATCACTGATATGCTTCACCAAGCCAACTTTATTTGTTAATGTGTGTGTTGCATCTGTTGGATATTTGACACGTCTTGCCAAGCCAGATTTCATTGTTAAGCTGTGTGTATGGGAGTAGGTAATGGATCTCTGACATGTCTAACACAACCATGTATCTTTGTTAACCTAGGTGCACATGTGTAGCTATCAGCTCACTGATATTTCTCACCTAGCCAAGTTACACTGTTAAACTGAATGTGTGTTGCTATTTGTTAACCCGTGTGCATGTGCTTAGCTGTTGGACCTGTGACATATCTCACCTAATCAAGTTTTATTGTTAAATTGTCTGTATGTGTAACTGATGTATCTCTGACATGCCTCATTTAGCCAAGTTTCAGTGTTCAGATGTGCATATGTGGATATAGCTGTTGGATCTGTGACATCTCTGACCAGTCATGCTTCATTGTTAAGCAGTGTGTCTGTAGGTAGTTGTTGGATGTCTCATGTGTCCCACCCAGCCACGTATGTTTGCAAACAAAAAAACCCACACCCTCAAAAAAAGATCTAATTACAACAATATTGATCTTCAAAGACCCTAATAATAATAATAAAAAAAACTCAATTACTAGGATTTTGATGTTTTTATATCTTATTTATTTCCAAAAAGTAAAATTAATGTTTAGCTGGCAATTTTGAATCTTTATTCAACTATTGTTTGACACCTTATTTCCTGGGAAGTTTCATTACATTTGAATAAATAAGCCCAAACTGTGCTAATGTTACATAGTATCTTAAAGACACAAATATTCAATGATCTGTAAAACTTTCAAACAGAACAGCAACCTTCGCCAATCAAGTTAAATGTTTTCATTCTAACCGGCTTGGCCTGCCCACCATGTACAGTATTTGTTGACTCACATTCAAAATTTTATTGAACTACTATTTTATGAATTTCTATCAATAACTTTGGTATCAAATTGTAAATTATAATTCAAATGTTAATATTATCCACTAGTTAACTTAAAAAAGATCTAATAAATATTAATTTTTGTGTGTCACGTGGTATGTTGAATGCAGTGTTGATTCAAATTAGATGTTTATGATGTCCAAATATAAAGTCTATAGTTTCATACAACTTAGGAACTCAAATTAACGATATATTAGAAAGGTTACGAAAGACACTACGGGGGACATTCTGAGCTTCCGATTGGTTATTCATGTCATAGAAGTAAATGTATATAAGAGAGCGTTTACAAAAACAGAAAGATGTGGGCAGGATGCCACATTTATTATGTGAGCAATATCTTAGCAAATAGAAAAGACAAGAAGTTCTTATTTTATATTCTAGCTTATCAATATCTGTAATTTGAGTTTCTAATTCGTATGAAACTATATACTTAGTATTTTGACATCACAAACATCTAATTTGAAGCAGTGCTGCATTCAACATACCACGTGACACACAAAAATCGATGTTTTTCTGTTTTTCTTTATATTTACTTTTAAATTAATAAATTGAGTAACATACAATTCTAAAATTTGAATTATAATCTACAGTTCGATACCAAACTTACTGACATAAATTCATGGAATAGTAATTCAATAAAATTTCGAATGCGAGTCGACAAACGAGATGACATGGCCTTTCACCTGTGACCCGTCTCGATAGTGTTATTCTTTATGCATGCGTGTTATTGGAAATCTGATGTTTCCCCAACCCAAGTTTCAGAGTTATGCATTTGTGTAGCTAGAAAAAAATATATCTGGCGTTTTTCTATAGTTATCAGCAAAAAATGTCCAGGAAAGTTTGTATCGTACTACAAGTAAAGTACGGAATGTTTTCTGAAGAAATACAAAGTAAGCAATACTTAAGACTTGATTTAGATTTCAAAAACAAATAGTAACTGTTCCTCCAAGATAAATACTAAAGAGAAAACTTACTTGACTGTTTTTTTAAAGGTTCATAACAAGGGTTAAGAGAGTTAAAATATTAATTTAAAAACTTCAAACTTACTTTTATGAGCAAGATTTGAAGTACTTGATATATAAAAACCTTTTTAACAAGTTTAACTTTGAAAGGATAACAGTTTGAGTTCAACTCTAGGGCAGTTTTTACTTTGAAATCTCCAGCCATGTAAATGATAGGTCAGGCACCATTTCCAATACCTTAAGTAAAATTAGAATTATTCATGGAAAAAATCATTTATGCTGGTCATTTAAGTTTTTTTTTTTTGCACCTACCAGTCTTGAGCATGATTTCGCACTCCAGATTCTGCAGGAGGAAGAGGGGACACAAACCTAGACACCTGAACCCACACTGAGTGATACAAGTCCTGGTGTGTAGTATTGTCGTAGCATGGCAACACAAGGGGAAGTCCAAATAAAGTTGGTCGTGTTTTCTGAGATGACAGGAAATAGACATCCTGCCGAATCTAGTAAAAACATATGGATATATATATATATATATATGTGAATTTTAATTTATATCCAAATTGCCCAGTACAAAAAAAAAGGAGAAACAAAAGAGAACACACTTGCTTGGATTTCACTAATCCACCTGGTTATGCTGACACAATGTACATAGGTTTCCAATATTTCATTATCAAAGTCCTGGAATAATACTGTTAGTTGTAGAAATGCTTAAACATTTAAAACATAAGTCAGCTTTTCTATCATTGAACTTCACAGGTCAGGATCACAACACGTGAGTAATTTCAAAAATTAAAGAATTCAATATACAAAATAACAACCATGTAAAATTATAAAAAAAACAGACTAGATACTGCTAAAAGCTATATACTGAAATTGCCAACAAATGAAAAACTTTATTTAATAATTTCTCAACACTTTATTAAAAAATGCATATATTTTGGGCAACTCTACATCAGGGCTATCTGTGCTAACCATCACGAACTTTTAACTTAAACACTAAAGGAATGACAACTAGTCAAGAGCACCCACCACAAATTCCTGGGCTAATATGACAGATAAATTTGTCTGTCACTCTTATAATACACCCATGTCCCCAAAGTGCATGACAATGGTATGCAAGCCACATATTCCTAGTCTCATATGCTAACCACTAAGCCATGCCCAACTACTGGGGAAGATACAATTCATGTTATGTGGTTTCGTGTGATCGTCGAAGTACGTGTGATCTTCAAGAAACAAATAACATGTATCTGTAACTCAAGACTAACCTACTGATTAAAGAATAAGATAAATAAAATATCCCTCAGTAACTGCCTAAAGAACTGAGGATATTTTAAGTACTTTACAATTAACTGCAGTAAATGTATTGTACATCATTTTTTGGAGAATCATGAATATCCATTTTTGTTATAATTAAATTTCTTGCATTAATTTAGGGAATAAAAAACTTAAATACTACACTACATACAGATTTTTCAATATCAAAATAAGCAGATATACAAGTAATTAAAAGCAGACAGATCAACTATTTCCCCCAAACGAAGTGCAACTTACAAAAACAGCAAAGAAAAATAAAACAATTCACGTCTGAAAAAAAATTACAAAATAAATGAAAAAGCTCAAGGAGGTCTTACCACTTTCCTGTGATAGGCCACAACAAAGTTTTTCCTAGAATATTCTGTCAAGTCAACAGATGAAGAAATACTGACAAGACTTGATGACATGCTTGAAGGAACGCTGGCTGGATTACCTCCGACAAGAAATGGTCCTGTACCATGCCATGGTGGAAGACCGTTCTGACTTGACGGTGCTGGGCGACCTGCTACTAAGATGCCTTCACTCCTGTATGGCTGGTTAACAGAGGGGTGAGGAAACAAACCATAGGCTATAGAAAATATTCTGTACATATCTTGATAATAACAGAATTGAAAAAATTGTCTTTACTGAATTAAGGTAAAGGTCTAAAACACTATACTTTAAAATCATTGAGAAAAATATTTTGTTATATATTTAGAATATATAAAAAAAAGTCTAAATATTGTTTCCTTCATTACAAATGCCTCTGTTACCTGGAAATGTGGTCATTTACTGTCAAGAGGCTCCTGTGGAATAGATGGAATATTTCAAAAACTACAAAACTTCTATAAACATGAGAATTAAACTGAACCAATTAAAGTTCCAGAACAGTAGCTCAATGAATGCTATGGGTTACTTCTGTAAATATCTTGAGAATTATTATAATGTCACTTCTAAGAAAATAACGCTTACCTGATTTTTTACTAAGTCAGAGACAGAATCCTCTATTTTAAATGTACAATTGGTGTTTTCAGGGTCCTGAGAATGGATACTGCTGAGTGCAGTAGAACTTGCTTGAAAAGCCTCACCATTCACAGAAAGGAATGGTGATTTCCAACAAGAAGGAATGGTAAGGTCTTCTATACCAAATGGAAATATAAATAACAGCAAAGTTAGAAATGTATGATCCTACAGAAAAAAATTATAAAAATAAACAGCCTAAATAAAGTTTAGACACACCTTGAATGGGTAACAAAGAAAATTATTACAAGTGACCAACATACGACATTTCGACAAACTTTTCTCATTATCAGGGAAAAGTCTACAGTCTAAATATTAAAGAAAAAATACACATATGTTTGTGTGTGTGTGTGTGTATGTATATATATAGCAATACCATTAATGGTCCTGGTTGTCAACTTATTGTCATAATGTCTGTGATAATAGCACCCAAATGCATTGTGGATATCCCATCTATCAGACAATATCCAAACAACGATGTCAATCTAGTCAGCCATAATGGAAAATCATAAAAAAAAATCATCAATCAAATAAGGATACAATGCTGAATGTTTTATACCCACAACATCTCAGCTTCTACTGCCTTTCACTATTTATAGCCAGTTGTGGGAAAGCAGTTACTGTTAAATTTCTACTAATTAAACTCCCAACCTACATCCTTACAAAACTATATTAAATAGAACTATATAATATTGAATAGAACTGAATAGGACTATAAGATATTAAACAGAACTATACACCCTACCTTAAAAGTTCTTATAGAGTTCTAACTCCCAACCTCCTCAAGATTTATTCAAGTATAACACGAAACAAGACCAGCTACTTGAAGTTAGTCTTTCCATCCCAGTTATACTGAATAAAATTACTAGAAACATTATTATTAGCTACTTATAAGCTAAAATAATTAACTCCCTCTATATTGTATTTATAAGATATTTTCCTTAATTGATAGTTTAGTTTCTAAAATATTTTTGTATTTATTAAAAAAATAAAGTAATATATTTCTTTAATTGCCTCTCTCTATAGTCATTATCTTTAATAATTAAAACATTATCCATAAAAAATTATAGTTATTACATACTATTAAGAACCATTTTAGTTGAGATATAATAATAATACCTTTTAACATGATACACGGAATAACACTATTAGGTGTGGGTAGACGAAGAATGGGAAAATTAAATTCTCTTCTTTTATTAAAAGCAGCCAACGGCACTGTACCTTCTATATAAGTAATG